AAGAACCAGTATCTTGCTGAGTATGGTGGTGCACACACACCTTTAATCCCACCACTCTGAAGGCAGAGACAGAAGGATCTCTGTGAATATGAGGCCAGCCCACTCAACATAGAGAGTTCCAGGACAGGCAGAACTACTTAAAGAGACCCTGTCTTTAAAAAAACAAAAAACAAAAAACAAAACCTGGCTCCAAAAAGAATCAGTGTCTTCTATATATAACACTGTCATTGCTCCCATGAACTCATTGTACCTGGCTTTACTCACCCCTCATCAAAGATTCTTTTTGCAGCAGATGAAGGCTATTACAGAGTTCCACAACTTGCCAAAATGTAGAGAATAAGTGACCATAGGGAGCCCAGCCTCAATTGATATACCTACAAGACAACTCCTGCAAGCAAGGTTCAGGAAATACCATGGAAGATTAGATAGAAAGATGGTAAAAGTCAGAAGACCAAGAGGCCACTATGATATACTATCTTCTAGACTTGACAGGTGAGCTGCACCCATAAAATCTCAACAGTATCATTACCTGAACAATATCTGCAGAGTGAAGATAATGCTCTATATGCCAGTATATGTTCAGTACTTCACAAGGTACTATCTGTCAGAACATGGTTCAAGAATGAAATTGTGTGAGAATTCTGAGTGCTAAATAGAAAACTCCAGGAAAATAAGATAAGAGTCTTATTGCTGCAAGTCACAGGAAAATATAATGGAATTCAGCTACTATCACAAAAGCAACTACTTGGAAAAGTCAAGCACCTATCCAAAGGTCAAGCCATAGCTTAAGAAGTCTTGGTGATATTTTAGCTTTTGTGTATTAGCTGGGTCCTAAATGATTTTCTTGCATGCTTCCAAGAACTCCTAACAGTCTATTTATCTAAAATGCCTATCAAGCATCCAAATCCAAAGGAAACAACTCCTGTCTCCTAGATCAGGCAGATAACTTTATTTCTTGTGCAGTTTAGGATGAGACCTTCCTTTCTTATACAACCATACTAATAGAGCCCTAACTTCTTACCTAACCACTTCTAGGAATGTAGACTGAGCACATAGCTCCCCTTTTTTATATACTAACAGGTCATAGCACTCAGTTGACCTCCTCTTTTACCACTCCCATTTGGGTTGTAAAAGAAAGCCTGATGGTCACTGCCTGAGGAAAATTCTTACCTACCTTTACGACTCTGTAGAATTCAAGCCTGATGACCTTGTTCTGACAGAGGATTTCTATTGCTTGGGTTATAACTGAACACCTCAGAGACTTGAGAGGGCTTGGAGTATAAGGAGATGGATAGGAAGAGAGGAGTGGAGAACTTGAGGGTGGAGAACTGAGAGGGATAAAGAGGATTTTGACCAAAGAGAACATGTGGACAAGATGGAAGGTGAGGAAGAGT